ATTGGTGTAATTTTCCTTCAAAGTACTGCTGTTTGCTTGCCTTTCCATTTCTGGGAATGCACAAGGCATCTGTGCTTAGAAATTGTGTGAAGGGAAAACCAGGGAAAATTCCCTGTTGTGACCAAAGGGAAGTCTTTGAAGTGAATTCTTTGTCAGATGTTGTCTGTAGTTTCCATTTCTTTTTTCAGGGCTGGAAAAATATTACTGATGCCAAGCGAATGGCTCAGGCTTAACATGGGGAAAATGAGAAGAGTATCTGGTTTTGCCATGTGGGAGCCTGGTGTTAGTAGAGTTTAGCTGGATCTTGTAACATGGGTACTTCAGATGACTTACTACCACTCCTGCATTCACCAGATGTTGGTCCTCATTAGGGTTTGGAGGTCAGTGGCAACAGTAAAGACTTGCATAAATTGTGGCTGTTTGCTACAAGAGCCAAGGAAATGGAGCACTACAAGAAACCTCCACAATGTTGTGTTGCAGTCAAACGGGCAGCCACTTACCAGCAGTCAGAGATCAATATTGCTTAACCTCTTCAGTGGTGACCTGCATGATGGGACAGAGTTTGTGGGTGGTACCTAACTGGACAGAACAGAGGTTAGGGACCTCAGAGGAACCTCAGTGGACTGGACAAACTTTGTGGAATGTTGTGAAGTTCAACAAGGGCAAATGGAAAGTTTTGAACCTGAAAACCCCTCTGCAACAGCACAGGCTGGGGGCCAGCTGGCTAGAAAGCACCTCTGCAGAAAAACGGACTGAGGAGTCTTGGGGGTCAGCAAGTTCAACATGAGTCAGTGATGTGATCTTGTGAGAATGGTGGCTAAGTGGATACTGGACTTCATTGGTAAGAATATTGTAAGCATATCCAGGAGAGGGTTTATTCACTCTCTTTGGCACTCCAGTACTCCACTTACCTGGAGTACTGGACTGTCCAGCTTGGGGCTCCCCAGATAAAAACATATGTTGAAAAACTGGAGCAAGTCCAGTGAAAAGCCACCAAGCTGTTTGGGAGCTGGAGCACACCGCATATGGGGAAATGCTAAGGGACCTGGGTTTGTTTAGTCTCAAGATGAGAAAGCTCAGGGGGGATCTTAGTGCTGTTTTCTGCTCCCTAATAGGTGTCTCTTATAGAAGACTGACCTTGGAAATGCATAGAAAATACCCAAAGACCAAAAGCAACGAACACAAGTTGCAGTAATGGAAATCTGATTAGATATAAGGAAAAAAATTCTTCACCTGGAGAGTGGTTTAGCCCTGTAACAGGTGCCCAAGGAATTTGGGGAGTGTGTATCTGTGGAGATTTTTGAAACTTGCCTGGGCAAATTCCTGAGTAACCTGATGCAACTTCAAAGCTGGCTGTGCTTAGAGCAGGAGCTTGGACTAGATAGGCTCCAGATACTGCTTCCAACTAAATTATTGTATGGTTTATGTGCTGCTGTCCCCACAGGTGACTTTTGCCCTGTGTGTATTTTCAATATTAAGTTTTGCAAAAAGTCCACATAAAAGAGGCTTAAAAAAATCTGGGTGCCTTACTTGCTATGCTAGGAGATTTCATCCCCATCTGTAACTGAACTATGTATAGTCTCTTCTGCTTTTCTGCTCGTTTGGCTAGTGGAGTTTGTGCTGGAGCCACCTGGCAATTGGAGAATTGAGGATTTCACTCCTGATATTTGTGAATACAGAGGCCTGGTCTGCACCTGAAGAAGCTGGGTATCTAGGGCTACACGTACACATGTTTACTGTGTCTACATCATAAAAGAGCAGTGTCAGGGCCTGGGCACAGGTACAGAAAATAAATCTCTACTGTTAAATTGTAGCCTGGTCCCTGGCATGGTTCATTGCCTTGGGCCAGCTAACACTCTCATAGGCAGTCCAGAAGATGGTTTGAGGTTGGTTTAGGACAGGGACTGGGTATCAACACTCTCTTTTAGAGGATGAGTGCTTAATGGCATGGATGTGTGTTGTTCCACCACATCTGGCCTCAGGGACAGGCAATGGACCAGTGCAATTTGCCAGTTAACTTGTAGATGAACAGCATAGGCTGGCCCTGGGCACTGTTAAAGTACAAGCAGGGACTGCAGTGTTAGGACCTGCTCTGGAAGATGGAGCTACATGGAGGAGGCTCTCTGCTTGGGTGTTATAACTCAAGCTACATCAGCATTGGTAGTGGGGCTGGGGAAGGGGCTAGAGCAGGGTCCCACAGCTCTCTGTAGGCAGCATGGCATGTTGTTTTCAGTGGATAGCATGGACAAGGCAGTCCTATATTGCGGAAAATAAGGTGTAGCTACTACCTGATAAAGGTACCATCAGGATTGTGCTCACCTCCTGTCTACACATCAGCTACTCTGTACTGAATATGATGAGAAAGATCCTGCTGCCTGGCCCTGCGGCTGGTTGACCTTGTGTCCATGCAAATAAACCCTCTACCATGTACTCCTGCTCCTTTCCTTTCCATCCACAATATCCAGGGAGACCTTCTGCAAACTGATGATTGGGAATAGCCCTGTTATATCTCAGACTATATTGCCTGTTTGAGGTAATGATAGTTGGCAAAATAATGTTAAGGAACGGGGTAGCACTTAAACATGGGGGATAATGGTGTGTTCAGATTTGAGCCCTGTTGGGTTTCCTCGTGCAGATGATGCTGCTAAAGTCAGTATGGATGGAGACCATAATCTGCTCAGAACTGCATGAGAGGAAGGAGGTCATCAATACTAAGACATGGTATTGGTGTGCTGAATCTACAGATCCGGCACCTTGGGGATGGGGCCAACAGCTCCTTCAGAGGTCAATTCACTTTGGTAAGGTGGAGGGCAGAGTCCATAGTTTGTTATTGCTCATTCTTACAAGAGAAGTGTCCCAAAAGGTAACTATCTCTAATGATAATGCATGCAAAAGTCTTGTCCTGCCTTGGACAGGACCAGTAACAGGTAACTCCCAACCCTCCCGCAGAGGTAGTATGCTCCTGTGCTGGGACACTCCCCTGTGCAGACAGCCATGGGATGCCTTCTGTTATGTGTGAGAACAATAACAAATCAAAAGAATAGATGATCTTCATGAAATCCTGTGCAGTGCTTAGATTTGATGAGTTTTGCTAACTGCATGCCAGATGTTTCCACTGGAACCTCTGACACTCCTTGGATCAAAAATCCCCTAAGGTAGTTTGGGTGGTTCAGTATGAAAATGCTCACATGGGGCCCTGTTCTTTTGTCATTTGCAGCATGTGAAATAAAATGCTGCCTTTGATTTGAGAAAAAAACCCCATGTTGCTCTCTAGGCTTAGTTTTCTGTGTCTTTCCTGTGTCTCTGATGGCTTTCGTTGTGCTGGTTCTACCATAATAGCTTTTGGGCTTCATTTTCCCTTTCCCTATCTCCTAATTAGTGACCAAAAGGGGTTTGTATTCCTTTCCCTGTAGCTTTCCTGTTGCTTTTAGCAACCCCTTAATGTTGAAAGAATGGCTTCTTGTCAACTTCCCCTTGTGCTTGGCCCTGACTGGACAGTCAAACAAACTGTCTAGCACCTAAAAGTTCGAGAGCTTGTCTGTACAAATTATTTTCACCTTAGATGAGAAAACAAGTGCAATCTGTCTGATAGAAATAATACTTTGGAAAAGAGACTAGACTAGACGAGACTAGATTATTTCAGTTGGAAGGGACCCATGATGATCATCTAGCCCAACTGCCTGACCACTTCAGGGCTGACCCAAAGTCAAAGCAGGTTCTTAAGGGCATTGTCTAAATGCTTCTTAAACACTGGCAGGCTTGGGGCATTGACCGCCTCTCTGGGAACCCTGTTCCAGTGTTTGACCACCCTCTTGGTAAAGAAATGCTTCCTAATGTCCAGTCTAAACCTCCCCTGGTGCAGTTTTGAACCATTCCCAGGTGTCCTGTCACTGGATCCCAGGGAGAAGAGCTCGGCACCTCCCTCTCCGCGCTCCCTCCTCAGGCAGCTGTAAATATTTACTTTTGGAGCTTTGCGTATTTTAGAGTCCTGAATATGACATTTCTACTTGCATGGAATAAACATAGTTAACAGAATAGTTCTACTTACATGGTAGATGGTAACACTATAATTATTTGACCTCATAGTAACCCTCATTAGACTCAGAAATACAACCTCTAAGAGCAGACAGGGAGACTGATCACCTCTGTCTGCAGAAGGGAGCCAGAGATGGTGACTTGAGACAACTCTTTTGGACATAGCAAAGGCTAAAAAAGCCTACCCAAACTCTCCCTGTCTCTTCACTTCAAAATGAAACAAGCAAAACCTGGAAAAAATCAACATACCCAAATCAAATCAGAATTTTACCCTTTCCCAAACACGATCTCCATGTCCATCTCCCTTACACCTGTGAGGTGGGAATTTGCTAATAACTTTGCATGTTACTGCGATTGATTGTATTATCAGACAGCTAAATAAATCTACACGAATTCCATATGAATATTACAAGTGTAGCATTAATGTATTTTCTGTTCATGTGACAGTCTCTTAGTGTATGGGGAAGCTTGTAGTGTTTCTGGATAAATACACTGGAGAGAGACTCGTAAGATCTGAGGCTTTTTCCATGCTCTGCACTGATTTGCTGTTGTTAGTCCTTCTATTTTTCTATGACTCTGTTTCTCCATCTGTTAAAATAGGGATAATGATACCTGTCTTAGAGTCCTTTCAGACCTTTATACAATAAATGCCGGGGGAGAAGGAGTTAATTTTATTACGGATGGCCTTTTCCCTTTTAAATAAGCCATCTTTTATTTGCAGCCTTCTTCCTATGGATGTATGGGGGTTTCTGATTCTTTTTGGTAATTGCCTTTCATAAATTTACAATTTATTAGAGGTGTTTGAGAGTCAGATACACCTTCCCGTGTAAACACAAAGATTTTAAAATACTCATGGAAAGCTCATATGTATATGCTCTCACAGTCTGCATGTGGTAAATTTTTTTAGGCAATTTCTGATGTGACTGGACAAATATTCACTAAATAGGTATCATTTTCCTTTTTAGAGTGTCAGTCGGCTACTGCTCTCCAACTCATGATCAAGCGCTGTCACGGGAAAAGAAGTTGCAGCATATATGCCAGCACCTATGAATTTGGAGATCCTTGTTACCCGGGCATCCGAAAGCATCTTAATGTCATCTACACCTGCGGTGAGCCAGAAAATTCTCTGACTCTCATTGGGGTATATGTTTGATGAACAGTGGTGTGTGGAGAAGGGCAAGGCTTGGAATTGTGCATAAAAAGTTGTTGAGCTTTCAGCTGGCTCGTGGTGATTCTCATTTGGTCAACACAGGACAGCTCTGTGGATCATGAGTGGTTTAATTCTGTCTCTTTTTCTACTCTTTGGCTTGATAGAAAAAGCAGAGAACATGGAAACGATATTTTGTTAACCCATTCAACACTGCCTCTGCAAGGCAGGAAGATCTGTTGGTGGAAACAGTCCACTCAGCAGATGCTTGTACCCTGAATGTTAGCATCCTGCTGTTTCATCTGGCTGCAGCAAAGCTGTGGTTATCAACAGGATCCTTATTACTTTGTTCTGTATTTTATTTTGTGCCGTAGAACAAGACAATCACCAATCCATACTCATCCATGGCATTAGTAGAAAATCACTCCCAAAATCTTCAGGTGAACATTGCAACATTTTCCTAACAAAATATTGTTATTTGAAAAAAAAAATAAACAGTTGGAGCTCTCAGTTGGGAGCTTAAGTCATAGTGTTGAGCAGACACTGTACTCCTACTTAACTAGTCATCTTATTTTGCAAAAGAGAAAAAAAATGTTCCTCTCTGAGCTCTGTGGTATGAAAACAACATCAGGCCTGTCTTCTTGCAGTGATGACATTTTGGTCATTTGTAGCTGATATATTTGAAAATATTTGCTTGAGAGTTTTGCTTATATAGTTGTTGCTAGGATCAGCTCAGTGTCTCTCTCTCCGTTCCTTTCTACATCCACCTGGAAGAGGAAATTCTGGTGCTATTTTGAAACTGCTGCGTAGATGGCTGAGCACGTAGTGGAGGAGGTGCTGCTGTGTCCTCAGACAAGAGGAGCTCTGTGGGTCAATCTCTGCATGCTGAATCTATAGATGGTATTTGAGATGGAGTCCCTATGGCATTTTTTATAGTTCCTATAGCATGGCTGATGTACCTTGAAAAGCAGAGAGAGAAAGGCAAGAAGAGCATCAGGCTCTGAGCTCCTGCCTGCCCGTTGTTTCATTTGGCAGACGTGGCAGGAAGGTTGAATTTTTTTTTTTCTCTTGGTTTCTTTGTTTTTGTTTGAAATGATGGAGCAAGAAGTAGCAAAGCTATCTATGAAAAACCTTGTGAATTTTCTAACAAGGAAGGTGATGTTGTTATATCATTTTTCTTGTAAAGAGACTGGAGAGAATCTCATTCTCATTGGATTTGGCAGACATAAAAGCAATGCAGCGAAACAGGAGCTCCATAACTCAGAAATCCAGGGAGAAAGCAAACAGAGCCCCATAATGTATTTCCAAGAGGATATCTCCTTCAAAGGCCTCTGCAGCCTTTTTCTGGCATTATGGTCTTGGTCCCAAAGTCCACTACAAAAGGCATTAATGATCTCTTAATCTGACCTTAACTTTCCTGGTCACAGCCTAACTGCATCAGGAAATGAGTCACACCTGAGAGCACAATATGGCATGTTTTGCTTTTTACTGGGTGAAGTCTGCCTCATCCTTTGAAGGTGGCCATGGCTTCTTTCCAAGACCATGATCTCAGACATGTCTCTGAGATGGATTTTGTGATCATCAGACACATATTTCTCCCCTCAAACAGCAAAATCCTTCAAAAAGCAAAAACTAAATAAACAAGAAGTCAAATACCAGTCCCATGTACGCCTTCCTGACAAAAGTAAATCCTGGCATTCTTTTAAAAGAAATTATAAACCCAAGCAATTTGATGTTCTCACGGTTTAGAGAACAATTTTAGTGTACAAAACCTCCTGTTGGATGTCTCTATTTCAGGTTTCCATAAAGCTGCGTGCATTACTGCTCCTGGTGTGGTGTTCTCCTACTTTCCCAAAACCTGTGGGAGTGAAAGGGGACAGGCTTTGACTGACAAACGTGACTGCACTCTCCCGTGACCTGTATCTAGATACATATCCCTGTTCCCCGTCTCTTGTAGGTGGAAACACTTGATCCCTGGAGTGCAGGATGTGGCTTTACTGGTATTCACTGGAGAGCGGTGAGAGACGCAGTGTAACGCAGGCATGGCTTGGGAAATGTGATGGGTGTACAGTGTGGGTTTCTCTGAGCATCACTTCAGACTTTCTCACGGCTGCTTCAAATGAGCATCTCCCATCCCACTGGGAGGAGTGACCGAGCGGCTGTGTGATGCTTTTGCTGCCTGGGGTTAAACCATGACATTTTCATGCAAACATTTCCCATGTGAGACACTTCAGTAACTATGGGGACAGGGCAGCTGAACTCTGCTCTTGGTGCTAAAGCATGGAGAGGGCTGGAAAGACAAAAATACATCTTCTGCTGATAGCAACAGAAAAAAAAAACTGCTGAGAGAGTAATTTATGAGGTGATAAAGGGTAATATTAACTGAAAACTCATGTGTTGTTAGCAGAAATCATGATGCTTTTGCTGAGGTGGACTTTGTGACAGGCATTACTGTTAGTGTTGGCTGTGTAGAGCAGTGACTAGTGAAGAGCTAGTGAGGTGACTTATCTCCCAGTCCTGGCAAGAGAACATCTGCAAGAGCCTCTCAGGTCAGGACGTACAGACTGTTCTTCTCTGGCTTGACAGCAGGAGCTGAGCCCTGTCCCAGATCTCTGAGAGGTAAACAGATGAGGCAGCAGCCTTGATTTCTTTAAGCCATGTCCAAATTTCTTGGAGGTTCATTCCTCTAGCCTCCGTGTTTTATCGGATGTGAGAATTCCCGCCAGACATACACAATTTTGTTAATGAATCTGGATTTAAGTAAAAGTGTCATCTAACTTTGTGCACAGCTGTAGTTTTGAATAATTTGTTGTAATGACTCCAGCCAGTGGGAGTGTCTGAACTCAGTGGTTCTCGGTATTGTATTATATCCCTTTGCATCTTGCATTAAATGCCTATTGGCATCACTTAGCTGAGAGGGAAATGCTACAAGTTACCGTGTATGTACAAGATGATTGAAACAGGCAAGTAACCAGCAGCCCGATGCGATAGCGATCTCTTGTATGCATTAGAGTCCTATTAGCCTAACTAAGGAAACAGATGAAAAATCCTCCAACGTAAAAACTTTCCAAACTTGAACCTTGGCAAGAGCTGAAATACTAAATTTTGGTCCAAAGCCAGATTTAGCTAATGGGATGGAAGGTGGGATTTTCCACTATGTGGGTCCTGTTACTGCATTAATAAATACACTTGGTTATTGTTTTGAAAGGAAAATGCAAGTTAATTCTGGGAAAGCACATAATGCGTGGTGGGGTTGCTTTCTGAGTGTAGCAGCTGTAACTAGAAGGAGATATAAAAAAATCAGCTCTGTCTTGTTTTTTTAAATACACCTAAACCCTCAGAGGATAACAACAAATAATAGAGTATTAATACAACTAAGAAAAATAATGCAACAAAGACTTTCTCCCTTTCTTACTGCTGTGTGTGTCCCTGTTCCACCCCCCCCACCCCATATCTCTGTGTCTGTCTTTGGTACAAAACATTGTATTCATAATATCTGTGGGTAACTTATTAGGGTCATTACTGCTGTGTTTTTGTACTTACTGATAAAAGTTACTGTACTCCTGACCTTTTCCTTTTTCTTAATTGTCCACTTCTTACCTTCAAAGGCTCCCTTTAATTCTCTAGATCTCTTTCCTCTCTAGTATTCTAGACTTGTTTTTTTGGCCTCTGCTGAAATCCTAACTCAGCAATGTATTAAAACATTGTGTTGGGTTTTTTTTTTTCACATGCTTAATGCCACTTGGACTCAAGGAAGTGTTTAAGTGTGTGCTTTATTTTAAGACCCATGCATAAATACCATGAAAGTTAAATATTTTCTCAAATACTTCCTTGAGTGGGGATGAGGGGCTTGTCTCTGTGTAAAGAGAAACTTTATTCTTAGCACTGAAATTCAACGGAGCAATTCAGAGTGCCTACTGTCCTGAGTGCCAGACCTGCCTCCCTGTGCAGTGGATGGAGGCTGTAAATGTAAACCCTCTGCTAAGTACCTGCTACTCTTTGAATACAGACATGGGTGACGATGAGACACAAAAAAAAAAAAAAAAAAAAAAAAAAAAGAGGATTGTGTATTTCTTTGTTTCTTTGTCTCTAGACATGTTTTGGTCCTGATGACTGGTGCCTTTTTATTACCTTTGTTAGAAATACGTTGGGTAAAATGGAGGAAATAGGGCCTTGGATGTGTTTTTGATGTGAATACCCATTGTGTGTTTAGATGTGTGTGTGTGCCTCCTGCTTGATTCATGCTCGATGGAGAGAAGTCATTGGGCTGAAAGCTAATGAACTGCCATGGTAACTCATAAATTGCTCGGAAAATCCTGCAGTTCTGCCACATTAATAATCTTGCCATGCTGCTTTATGAGGCAATAAGCTGAGTCCCAGAGGCCAAGCACTTCACATCCCAATGAGAGAAGCGGTCAGGTAAAGGATAAAGCGTGAGTGCAGGGAGAGCAGCGACTGTTTCATAGTGTCTGGTGGTGCTGGGATGCCAAATGGGGTCAATGAGACATGGTAGAGACGCTCTGGGTGATGGGGATGTGCTGACCTTTGCTTTCTCTGGGTACTTGGGAAAGCAGTCTGGCTTTCTCCAAAATGATGTGTTTCAATAAATATTCCATCAAGTTGGATTACAAGGTCTGTGTTAGATAAGAGAGCTCTGAGGTGGTTGGCCTCATGATGGTGATGAGGGAGGGAGGCTGAAGAGCTGCACAAATTCTCTCCTGTCATCTCAGAGGGACTGTGCTCTAGTCCATTAGCTCCCATGCAGTAAATCTATCAATGCCTCAGGCTGGATGAATGGAATGGTTCTTTTTGCTCTTAAAATTCATGAATTCATGAATGTAGAAAATGCATTTTTATCACTGCAAAACCACTTTCTGTTGCTATAAAAAACAATGTCCAAAATCTGCAAAAAACAGAAACGGAGAAATTCCAGACTTCCCAGAAAGAACAAAAGCCTTTTAG